AGGGAGGCAATGGCAACCCACTTCTGAAAAACCTTGCCAATAAAACTGCAGGGACTTATCCAGGCAGTCACGAGGAGTCCAAAACCTGACTCGAAAACTGACATCATATACATGGCTGGCTGGGGGATTCTGGGAGTTGAAGTCCACATATCTTAAAGTTGCCAAGGTTGAGAAATGCTGCTTTAACGGAACTCCTCATTCTACCGCTGTTCCTCAGGGTATGATTAACTACAAGTCTCAAGGAATCCTAAGCTTACCCTAAATTCATGCTAATTCCAATAGGTATTTTTAACCCTAAACTTTATACATAAATACAAAAGCAAGCCCCAGCCTAACGTAAGACTAACTGTATGTATGTCTATAAAGCCAGAACTCTCATTACTCCAAATATTTGGATAATGCATGATGCCCAAGTCATGTGGACAGGATCAGAGAAGACAAGTCTGATAATGTTCAGTTAGATGGACCCAGACTGCCCTTATTTTGTGTAAAACAGCTACCATGTCCCTAAATATTTTCATAAACAAAAACCTGTTCATTGTTCTACAGAAAATAAAATTATAATTCTGGCCAAGCTCCACTTATACTGTATCATTAATGTTATTCTATAATTGCATTAACCTCAGCTTGATTGCCTTTCCCTGTCTGTCTTTGTTCTATCATGCACATAGAATTACCTTTCCAGCAGTTTTTCCATCTGGGGTCTCCTTTCTCCCAGAAGGGGTAAAGCTTTTCATTCCAGTTATTATGGTCAGAATACCAGTGATTTAGCCTGTGGTGATACTTGTTACGAGAAGTCGCTGTCCCATGAGTCATCACATCTCGAAATTCTACAAAGAAAAATTAAATGCATGCAATAAAGTTAGGAATGTTTTACACTTGTAAAGAAGGTTCACATGTGATGCTGAACCCATGTTCGTACTGTATATATGCTCATACAGAAAACTGTGAAAGTAGCTTTTCTCAGGAGTTATGCAATTCTGCCTCTGGATGGAAGATATTGTATCAAGACTTATATTCTGGCCCAGCTCTCTGACCATACTGTATTGATGGGAATATCTGATGCTGAACTGTGGCAGTTTTGGTTCTCCATGTTCAAGAAAGCTGTGCGATTCCCCAATATGCTTACATGGATGGAAGCATAACACGTGTGCCAATCACTTCTCCACAGAATTTCAGTACCCCTATTCACTATGTATTTAATCATGTACACGAAGTTGAATGTACATACTGTAGCTATGTGCACTGATGAAAGTCTGTTCACTCTCCATAATCACATGAAATATCATGTTTTGCAGGATATTTGACGCACATCCCATTTTGACCAATAGAGTTGCCACAGAAGATTATTTTCTTCTTCTTTTTAATTCTTTCATTAATATTCAAAAATATTAACATTTCTTTTTTTAAAAAAAACTTTACTACTTTATGGTATTATATGAGGGTTGAATGAAAAGTAATGCTTCCAATATTCAGTTGCTGACAGATGGCAGGACTGATGCACTAGAAGCTCTGACATGTTTTTTAGCACCTGTTCTTTCACTTCAGTTGACAGGAAATTGCTGTGAGGAAAGGTTGCAGTTCTCTTATTTGTGTGCTTTAAGAAACACACTGTAATTGAATTTTTGACACCTGAAGGAGTCCCCCCAACTGAAATTCACTGCCAAATGCAGATTGTTTATGGTGATGACTGTGTTGACATGAATACTGTGTGTCACTTGGCCCAAAAAAACCATAAAGATGGTGAACTGGGAAGAGCTGATTTGTGTGATTAAGAACAAAATGTATAATTTATGACAGCACCTGAAGAGTTTCACTTGAGAAAGGTTGATGAGCTGATTAAGGAAAATTGACAGATCATTCTAAGGAAACCTGCAGTTAAGCTTAGCATTTAACAGGATCATGTGGGTCACATTATTGATGCTTTTCAATATCAGAAGTTTTGTGCAAGATGAGTTCCTTGCATGCTGATGGCAGAGATGAAAACTTCAAAAGTTTAAATCTGCCAGCAATCATCACACTATGAAAGAAGGGGTGGAATTTCTTGGCAGCCTCATGACAGCTAACCAAACATGGGCTCTTCATAATGACCTAGAAATGAAGTGTTAGTCCACAGAATATTATCAACTGTGGGGGAAAACAAACCAAAACCCAGGCCTCAGCAGGAAAACCCATGATTACATTTTGAGGGGATTCAGATGGTGTTATTCACATGGATTTCCACTGGTACCACTATCAACTCAGAGTGCTACATTGCAACACTCAGAACTTTGAAACAATGATTAAGCAGTTTGGAAGCACAAGTTGGAAATTTTGCTGCAACATGACAATGCTAGGCCTCATACCTCATGAACCACCCAAGAGACAACTGTGAAGGTAGATCTCACTGTCTTACCCCATCCGCCATATAATCCAGATTTGATGCCATGTGACTTCCACCTTTTCTGCAAATTAAAGGAATACTTTCCTGGGCATGTGTTTGACTCAAATAAAGAGGTGGAAAGGATCTGCTTGAAGACACATAGTGGGAAGTTCTTTCATGAAGGCCTTAAGAAGCTTGCCCAGCATTGGCAAGTGTGTAGTAAATAGTGGCGATATGTGGAGAAGTAAATACAGGTAACAAAAGAGCTCATTTCAGGGATTTTTCTCTTATTTCATTTATTAAAATATCCTTTTTAAATTAAAGTTATAGAAGTAGACACATTACTTTTCATTCAACTCTTATATATTAACTAAATAGCAATGTTATATTAAAAAAACATATAGTTTAAGAAACCTAATCTGTTTGTACCAAAAAAAGAGAAGAAGAACAGAACAGAACAGAACAGAACAGAACAGAACAGAA